GTCAACCTGGATCAATGATCATTAACTCGGGCATATATATATATATATATATATATATATATGATTACTGAGATGATAAATAGGTTCTGGTGATAAGAAACTGTGTAATTATAATATTCTTACTAATACGTTGTTGTTATTATTATATACCCTTACCTTTTAGATGGTCGCCCTTGTGTTTAAATGAGCAGTCATCGACGCGAACTCTTGAAAAAATGTCAAAATAAATGAGGAAAGCCGACGCAGGGCAGAGGGAGCGAATGTGTATAGCTATTAATACATGGCTAGTAGATAAATAAGGATGATGATTTCGATCCTTAATTTCGATTGTTCTGATATTAATTAGCGACAGTAATGGAATAGTATAAATAAAAAATTAGGCATCCACTGAGTCCGCCATTCATATCTGCGATGAGATTCGACCACCGTCCGAACGCCACAAACTTCTGATGCACTTAATAGCACTAACGTTCAAATCTTTTCTAGTAGCCATAAATGGATGCGCGTCTTAATGCCCTTCAAAGAGCATCCTTCTAAATGCTCTTTAAACAGCGCCACCTATATGGCGCTAGTAACCGTTGAAAATGCTATGTATTTACCATAGAATTCAGTCTGGTCAGTTTATCGCCTGGTGTTATTAGTTGAACACTGGGTTCCGTTAATTGACAACCCAACGGTTCGCCTGGTGTTATTAGTTGAACACTGGGTTCCGTTAATTGACAACCCAACGGTTCGCCTGGTATTTTTAGGAATACACACCTGTCCAAACGGGCGAGACAGAAACGTCACAAGGCTCTCCATCTACGTTTGACCTTTAGCGAACAACAACAACAACAACAATATAGGGGAAAAATAGCCTAAAAATCCGCAAAAAGCACCTGCCCTACGAAATCCAATAGTTGAGATAGTATCTCTCAAAACTACGATGAAACATTCCAAAATCCTATCTTTAAAGAAAAAAATATACAGCCTGCATTGTGGAAGCATTGGACCTAGTAGCCCAAAACGACCACAATGCTTTTGCGAGCTTGTCGGACTCTATCTATGAAAACCTATTTCCATAATTAATGTCGCAACACAGTAGACGTTGAACGCAGAGCAGATTCACTTCTCGAGCAAAGCCCTTGAGCTTTATTTTAACTAGAATTTGTTTCGTTTGATCGTGCTTTCGGCTTTAGAATCATAATTGCTAACTAATAGGTCGTCAGTAGTGAATCACCTGACGCAAAAAAGATTAAGCGAGGGCATGTTGAACGCGAACGTAATTTAAGTTTATGAAAGGTACGATCACTACTTTGGGAAGTCACAGACACGCGATTCGCGTGCTGATGTAACAGCTAGAGATGCACAGGGGTCCCTGGGAAGAGCTTATTGTCTGTAATGTTTTTTTATCTGCCTGGTCATTCCCCGAAAGGTGACGTATCCTCACGCGTGAAATTCATTACAGTGTAGTCTCGGCCTGCGAAACGTACACGGTAAAATCAATAAGCTGCTCACATGATTTATTATTTATTTTTGAGCAATACGTTGCAAGCTTTGGTTTAAGGCACGCAAAGCGCGTGGAGCAGGCAATCCAAAATGCAGTCACCACGACTGAAGTTGCGCGCGGGATGTATTCGTGCAGATCGTGGCTTGTCGAGGGTTATGAAAACGAACACGCCTTTGAACGGAACGTTGCATTTGTTGTGCTGCAGAATTCAGGAACAAAAAAAGACCAACAGCAAGCAAGCAGCGACTTCCTGCTGATGCGGTCAATCGTCACTGGTTGAGAAGATGGTGATGAGGAGCTGGAAATAAAAGAAGCGGCAATTAATAGTTGTACTGTGGTGCGTTTACAAGAAAACAAAGGCGATACTTGACTTCAGCATTCATACGCGTTTGAACCAGGACAAGAAGGATCCTACTTAGGCTTGCGGGCAGTTTAACCTAATTTCAGATATAATTACTTGTAATCCATACAGATCATGCGGTGACGCGTACGACTGTCAACCTGGATCAATGATCATTAACTCGGGCATATATATATATATATATATATATATATATGATTACTGAGATGATAAATAGGTTCTGGTGATAAGAAACTGTGTAATTATAATATTCTTACTAATACGTTGTTGTTATTATTATATACCCTTACCTTTTAGATGGTCGCCCTTGTGTTTAAATGAGCAGTCATCGACGCGAACTCTTGAAAAAATGTCAAAATAAATGAGGAAAGCCGACGCAGGGCAGAGGGAGCGAATGTGTATAGCTATTAATACATGGCTAGTAGATAAATAAGGATGATGATTTCGATCCTTAATTTCGATTGTTCTGATATTAATTAGCGACAGTAATGGAATAGTATAAATAAAAAATTAGGCATCCACTGAGTCCGCCATTCATATCTGCGATGAGATTCGACCACCGTCCGAACGCCACAAACTTCTGATGCACTTAATAGCACTAACGTTCAAATCTTTTCTAGTAGCCATAAATG